TGACTCCAAGGTCTTTGATCCATTTGGAGTTGACTCTGGTGCAGGGTGATATATAAGGATCTAGCTTTAGTTTTCTGCAAGTAGTTAACCAATTTTGCCAGCACCATTTACTGAAGAAGCTGTCTTTCTTCCATTCTATCTTTTTAGCTCCCTTATCGAAGATTAGATGGCTATAGGTCTGTAGGTTCATTTCTGGGTTTTCAAGTCTACTCCATTGGTCCTGAGGTCTGTTCTTGTGCCAGTACTAAGCTGTTTTGATCACTATGGCTTTATAGTAGAGTTTGAAATTTGGTATTGATGATTCTCCAGCAGTGTTCTTTCTGTTGAAGATCATTTTTGCTTTTTGGGGTGTTTTATTGTTCCATATGAATTTTTGGATTGCCTCTTCTATTTCCTTGAAGAATGAGGTTGGAATTTTGATAGGTATTGCATTGAATTTGTAGATAGCCTTGGGAAAGTTCTAGCTTTTTATGTGATTAATTGGAGATAAGAGTCTCACAATCTTTCCTGCTCCAGCTGCTCTTAGCCATGAGCCACCAGTGCCCAGTTTTCTTACGTTATTAAATTGGCAAATACATTCAATAATTTGCTGAGCAAGATTCTCACTGAATCTGAACAAATGATAAGAATAAACATATTATCGTTGTTCTGATCTGAGTGGAGCATTCTGTGTAACCTAGTGAGATACGATATTTACTTAGCAAAGTAGTTGGTTCAAATACACTTTCATCCTTAAGGAATTTTTAGTCCTAGTTCCCTGAGAGCTTTTGAACACAATTGAATGGTGTATTGAACCAAATGATTTTTTTAATCTACAGAAGCAACATATTATTTTTTGCTGTACTTGGCTTAAATCATGTTTAAATCATGAAACCTATTCACTTAAAAAAATTTGTACTGTTGTGTACTGGTGGCTTATGCCTGCTACTCAGGAGACTGAGAACTGTTTGGAAACAGCCCTGAAAGACAAATCTGAAGGACTCTTAGCTCTAACTAACCAGCAAAAAAAACAGTGGTAGAGGAGGAACTCAAGTGGTAGAGTACCAGCCATGAGCAAAAAAGCAAACGAGCTCAGGGCCCTGAGTTCAAGTACCTGTACTAACACACACACACACACACACACACACACACACACACACACAAATTTTCATTTCTTAAATGAACCCTTCTTGTGACATGTTTTTAATTCCTATATTTAATGTAGTAATATTTTCTTAAGTACTTTTTACCTATAATTATGAATGATACTGGTCAATAAATTTTCTTTTAATATCATAGTTGAGCTTTCGCACAGGTTTGCAGATCCCGTAAGTAAAGATAAAAATTTATGTTCTGTTCTATTTTCTGAAAAAATTTATACATTGAATCCTAGCTAGTTTTTGAGGCTGAGAGCAAAAAGATTTTGGTTTAAGGCCAACTAGAGCAGAAAAGTTCATGAGACACTTATCTCAAAAATCACCAGCAAAAATAGGACAGTAGACCACCAACAGAGCAAATGTGATGCCCCAAGCTCAAACTCTAGGATTTCCAAAAGAAAGAAAAAAATTATAAAGACTAAGATTATTTTTTTCCTAACATTCTATAAAAGTTTCTAACAAATCATTTGGCTTTAAATTTTCTTTTATGGTAACAATAGATATAGAAATTTTCAGCTTTTTAATTTCTTCTTGTGTTTTTATCCTCTTAAGATTGGAAGGAATTTCTCCATTTAACATAAATTGTTAAGTCCATTGGCCCAATGGTATTTATGACACTTGCTTCTTTCACTGTAAGACCCCTCCCCCTTCCATGCCTGAGACAAGTAATTTGTTAGCCAGGTTTTCTCCTAATTCTGCTTTTCTTTCTTACTCTGTGTTCTTTTAATCCATGTATCTTATTTTACATACCCTATATAGCCTTCACAATAGATTGTTATTGTTTTGATTTATTGTTGCTTTAGTTTGTTGTCTTTTAAAGAAATTAAAATATGAGAGGAAAAAAAATCTATAGTCATTGTCGATGCATTCACCATGTCCAGAATTCTTTGTTCCTTCTATCAGATCAGGTTTCTATGTGGTGTCACTTTGTTTGATTTTGGAGGGTTGCCTCTAGCATTTCTTGTAATAAAGGTCTACTTGCAACAAATACTTCCAGTTCTATTCTTCAGAAACATTTCTTTGGCATAAAGTTCTCGAATCCTATTTTCAGAGATAACCGAATTCTGAACGGATCATTTAGTTCTCTTTGTTCAGTAATTTAATGATGCCATTTCATTGTCTTCTAGCCTCCATAATTTGTAAAAAATAAAAAGTCAAGTATTATTTTTCATCAGTATTCTCCTGGATTTACCGTGTCTTTTCTTTCTCTGCTCTTGAGAGTGTTTTCTTTTATCTTTACTGTTAATGCTTTTTGTGGTTGTATTTCTTTCCCATGGCTTCTGTAAAAGAATGAGCAGACAGTGGCCAAGAACAACACATATGGCTGTTTTTCATCTGTGAGTTCGGAAATCTGAAGGGAACAGATGGAATTGTGATCCTTCCCAGAGTCTATGGGAGAGAACCGGTTTCCTTGTCTTTTCCAGCTTCCACAGGCTGGCAGCATCCTGTGACTAATGTACCTGTGTCCCTCTAACCTGTGTCTTCTCCCATTATCATCTTCTCTATCTTTGACCCTCTTGCTTTGGTCTCCCAGTCAGGGTCTTTGTGATTACATTGGACCTCCAATTACCCTGGATGATCTTCCAATGTCTGCATCTATAGTTTACCCACTCCTGAAGACTGTGCTTTCACTTTGAATGATTTTCAGGGGTTCTGGGAATTAGAATCTGGGCATCTTTTTTGGGGGGGCAATTATGGTGGTAGGTATTTGGTTGTCCACGTATTTACCCTGTTTTAGATTCATTGATCTTGACTTTGAACACTGATTTTCTTTTTAAAATTTTGGGATTTTTTTTATCCATGTATTTCTACTCTTTTATTAATTGTGTTCCCTTGTATTCAATTACACATATTTTAATCATTGTAATGATTGCTTACCATTGTCTCATGGGCTGTGGAATAAAACATTTCTTTCTCTCCTTTAGAACTTGGTAATTTCTATTGATCTGCTTTCTCATCTTCCATGACCTTTGTTTTCTGTTGTGTCCAATTTGCTCTTAAGTCTATCCTGTGATTGCTTCATTTCCCCCTCATTATTGATCACATCTTCTTTCCCCAGCTAGTCCTATTGATTATGAGCTGAGTAGATGAATTATTGAGTGCAATCTAAGTTACATTTTATCATTAGCCCATATGTGCTGTTTTAGAATTACATTTTCTTCAGTTCTCCACTTCTTCCTTGACAAGATAAAAAAATACATCTAATGCAAGGGATAATTGTTCCTAGGCTAGTATTAATAACTAATAGGTTATGTTTCTCCTCAGATTTACAGGTCTTATACCATTGCTCCAGGATACATTGTTAATTCTGTACTATTCTAACTTTGAGAATACTATAGAGGAATGATTGTTGATTTAAATAGCTTTAAGCATAGAGATTTTCCCTATCTCCAAATTGCATCATTAAATTTCAGGTTCATGGCATTCAACTTGCAGTGAAATTGAACATACTGTCCTCTTCCTCCTCCTCCTCTTGACTTGTGAGGAACTCACATTGATAGGGGCTAGATATCTCCACTGAACAAAGATGACAAAGATACATATTCACAGGTAATCTCAGTGAGAAGAGCTGTTTATGTTTTCTGTACATGCTCACTTCTTCATAATAAAGTGTCATCAAGCACAAGTGAGATTATTCATAGTTATTTAAATTTATTTAAAAAACAGTGATTAGAGGAAGAGGGTCCTTCCTTTTTAATTTCATTATTATGATTTGCTATTATTTATTATTATTATCATGAAGTAGTTGTTAGAAAAAGCTTTCAATTCAAAAGTTAGTTTCTGAGTATAGTGTATGGCGCCCCTTCCATCATTTTCCCCCCTTCCCCAACTTGATCCATATTCCCAATCTATGTGGTTCCACTCTATTTCATGAGAGTAGATAACATCAAAGAAAACGATCGTATCTAACTAGTATACATGAGTTCAGATTTCACATACTTAAAATCCAAAAGTGGTTATCAGTGGGAACTTACAGTAAAACCTGTCAAAAGCTTTGACTATATGGGTTACTTGTTCTGATGGTTGATGTGGGTTTCTTAGTGTACACATACTGTGGGTTTGGGGTGGTTACAAAGGCTTTTCAGTTTGTGTGGCATTGACTTGAGGTTTCTTGCTTTCTTAGAAAACAGGCACTCACTCCTGGTTCTCCTTCCGCTTGTTTTGACAGGCCGCCCTGCAAGTCGGGGGCCATGGGGAAAGACTCCATCAGTGTCGAGAAGTGATGCTATTGACGTACAAGTCCATCCCCATGCAAGTGGATGGGGAGCCATGTAGGCTGGCGCCCGCTATGATTCGAATCTCCTTGAGGAATCAGGCGAACATGGTACAGAAGAGCAAGAGGAGGACTTCCATGCCCTTACTTAACGAGTGAGTCTGCTCCTTGCCTACTGGGTTGATGCCAAGGCCGTGGCGGGGCGGGGGGGGGGGGGCAGATTGCAGAGCATGCGCATGGTCTAGGGACCTCACTGTGTTAGAAAAGGAAGAAAAGCCCACAAAGGTCAGTTTTTCCTGGTCTCACTCTCTCATGAGGACACCCCCCCCCACCCATGCATTTGTTTCTTTACATTTAGGTAGAGTCACGTGACCCTCCTTTCGGGTATTTTTACTGGATGTGAGAGAGATGATTCTTTTTCACTATCCACTTGGGCGTAGGTATCTATAGGGAGACTAGAAAAATATCAGTAGGGATTCGAGGGCTGTATAATGTGTCCAGAGAAAGTATTCTTTCTGCTTTACTTTAGGGAGAGTTGTGTCAGCCTGTTCTTTACTGAATGTCCTTTGGAAAATGGATATTCTGCCGTGGGAGGTTGGCTGAGCTGGTCTGTGGCTCACCCTTATTCACGTCTCACTCCCTTGCTGCCTTTTCGTAGTGGTCCCCTTCCCAATGCTTCTGTTTTGGAATCCTCCAGTGCTTCAAGTCTGTTTTGCCTTCCTGGGTGGCATTTGGACCCATTTTTTTCTACTCCTAAATACCTGTCATCCTTCCTGGACTCTCTCTCTCTCTCTCTCTCTCTCTCTCTCTCTCTCTCTCTTTCAGTGTTTCATAATCTGAATTGAGGTAAAGCAATGACAAGAGAGCTTCAAATGCATATTTATTTTATAGTATGCCTTGCTGCAGTTGAGAGATTTGATTGTCTCCCTGGGCTTGGAGAAGTGGCTGTAAAAACAATGGCATCTGAGTCATCTTTTTGATATTTTCTAGGTCACATCCTTAAACCTTAGGACATTGCAGGGCTTTGTCTTGGGTTATTCTCTGTCGCCATGAGGGACCCTCAAAGGTGTTCCTCCTGACTGTGTTCAGTGATGCATGGCCACCAATTAATTGTACTGAATGCCTGGCTTCCTCCTAGCGCCTGTGAAACCAAGGGCAGGCTTTTCCATGGAGCCCAGTGACAATCTGCAGAGGTTCCCAGAGTAACCAAAGATGCAGGTACCATAGCTTCTGTCACCTCTCTGTGGTGGCAGGTGTGAAGGAATGGTGTCAGATAGTGCTTTCCATGTGGTTTAGCTTTGGCATTGGCTTCTACATCTGAGGCTGGGGTGTAAGATCCTTCCTTTCCTTCTCTTCCTGACTCCAGATGCCCTGGTTGTTTCCAGAGCTGTTGCTGAAGTTTATAGTTCTTGCTTTATTTATGTTTTGCAGCTAGCGAAACTCCCAGATCATTCCTGATGCTTTCCATCCTTGCTGCCTTTTTCTTCTTCTGGGTTGAACATATAATTGCAGAGTTCATGGTTTACAAAGGATTTCATCAGCTGTATGGTTGGTTCATCAGATTCCTCAAGAAATGTTAGTCAAACCATTGGTTTGACAGCAGTTGATGAACTAATCCATGAAAAGCTACTTCTTGAGTTGTAGTACCGTAGCCTATGTGGTTGGGACATTTTAGATAGTCTGCTGAGACATAATAAAGCCAAAAGTTTTGGTATCTGTAAGCCAGGAGCACACAGGTGCACCATTGAAGAGTCACTTTTTTTTTTTTTTGTCAGTTGTGGGGCTTGAACTCTGGTCCTGGGCGCTGTCCCTCAGCTCTTTAGCTCAAGGTGAGCGCTCTACCATTTGAACCACAGCGCCACTTTCAGTCTTCTCGTGGTTTATTGGAGATAAGAGTCTCATGGACTTTTCCTGCCCGGGCTGGCTTTGAACTGCGATCCTCAGCTCTCAGCCTCTTGAATAGCTAGGATTACAGGTGTGAGCCACTGGCACCCGGTGGTTGTTATTTCCATAACACCTTAGATATATGATGTGATTTCCTGTCCTTGCCTGTACAGGTATTCTAGAAAGAGTCTCAGCTCAGAACTTCCCACAGAGGACAGTGTCCCCAACACAGCAGCCTTAGGCCATGGGAAAGACTGGTATAAATGTGCATAATAGGATGCTTTCTACCTTTCAAAAATCAGTTCACAAATCTTTAAAAAAAATCTCACATTTTTATTACTATCTATAAAAAGTTTTTCTACATTACATTGAACGCTGGGCATGGTGGCACCTATCTATAATCCCAGCTATGAAGAAGGCAGAGGAAAGAGGATCTTGAGTCCAGCCTAGACAAATTTAGTGAGAACCTGTCTCAAAATCAAAATACAGACAAAAGAGCTGGTGGTGTGGCTCAGGTAGTAGCATGCTTGCCTAGTATATGCAGTACCCTAATCTCAGTTTCCAGAACTGTAAAACAAACAAACAGCAACAAGGAATCACTGTATTTAAGGAAAAACAATTCAAAGAGCACATTTTCAAAAGAAAGCATGAATCTAGTAAGACTTGCCAGGGAAATATAAGTTTCTCTCATCTTGATCTTATTCACCCTCTGCAGTTAGAATGTTACTATTTCCCTAAAAATTCCCTGTTTTGAAATCTAATGTCCTTCACTACATTTCCAAGTAGACGTCAAAGTGGAAGGTCATCTTGCCTTTAAAACTTTTTCTTCAACCTTCTGGTACTTCTCTGCTGTGGCATCAAGTAAAAGTTGACTGTTCTAAGAATGAAAGAGATACTTGAAAAGATATTTATTCCATTTCTTTTTTAGAAAAACTAACACTGTTTCATCTTCTCATCTTCTTTCTTACTAGAGAGGAACAAAGAGTGCTTTAAAATGTGTTCAGAATTTTACCTGGAAGATTGTGTGTGTGTGTGTGTGTGTGTGTGTGTGTGTGTGTGTGTAGCTGTTTAATTCATATTAGTTAGGATCCTTTGCATAGTACACATTTCAATGCTGAGGCTCCCTGAACAAGTGCTCCTTCTCTACCTCAGCTCTAGTGTTTCTTGGGTATCTGCATTAGGAGGTTGTACCCTAGATCTGTGACTTCAGCCTGGGCTTTTAAAGAAAACTGAATACTGTCAGTCAGATACCATGGCTGACATCTTTACCTTGATATCTCACAGCAACCTGTCATCCACTCTTGCACCTCAACATGAGCCTGTTCCGTCCACATGTATATGGGTGGAGCTTCCAACCTCTCATTGATTGTGCCCTGGACCCTGGCGTCATCTCTCCCTCCTCCTCGTCTACCATCCAGCAGAGCAGCTAGCACTTTCTTTGAAATGCATCTTCAGGGAATCTCTCAAATCTTAAATGCCCTCACCCTCTATGCTGTGCTAGTAAAATAGCTTTTGTTGAAGCCAGGTGCTGGCAGGAAAGTCTATGAGACTCTTAATCTCCAATTAATCACCACAAATATGGGAATGGAGCTATGGCTCGAGTGGTAAAATACCAGCCTTGAATAACAAAGGTTATGGGATAGAGCCCAGGCCCTGAGTTCAAGTACCAGATCCAGAACCAGCACCATCAAACAAAACATAACTCCTATGAGATTTTTTTTTAGCAGTCATTCCTACAGTCATTCCTACAATAGCCTCATAATTAATTTTCCGGCTGTCCCTTTCTCTCTCCTGCTACTGCCTTTCCCACCCTCTGTCTTTTCCAAGACAGGACATAGAGAAAATGGCAAGACTTCACACCCTTTAGATCACTGCCTTCATCCTCATTTCTTGTGCTCCAGGAAAAACCACAATTGCTGAGCAGTCCCCTGGCTACTCCATCATCATGATCTAATTCTTGGATGCTCTAAGTGCAGAGGCCTCCACCTCCGCTTTTCATCTGTGAACCCTGCTCCACATTGCAGTTCTCCATTGAGATATGACTTTCCCTAAGCATCTTCTGTCAAGTTCTAGCTCTCAGATGCCCTTCGTGCTATGTCTGAAATACTCTCCATTGTGACTATCTCACCATTGATCGAGATAGTAGACTTGCTCATCTACTTGTCAGTCCACTCTGCTCTAGGAGTGCTTGCAGCACAGTTACACAGTGAATCAGTGATGGATCACAGATGGAGCCAGTTTACAATGCAACCTCTGCCACATTTCTCAGAAATGATGACTGAAGTAACAGAAATCGAAAATCCCATGAATCTAAGAATATGTTTGGATTCTGTTTCATTAGAAGGTAAATATTGAGTGATTTCAAGAGAAGGCTCCCAGAGATGTCCGAGGAGTTTCCATAAGAAATAGTTCAATAAGAGGCTTTCATGAAGTTATGAAAAAAGAATACTTCTTAGCATCTAATCCCACGTTTATTATAATAGACAAACTAAAAAGCCCCCATTACCTCATATTGTATATTTACTATCCCTGCGATAGGCCCAGGAGTGGAACTTGTCTTATCTTGACATATGAATCTGCATGATGTATGAAACTCTGGCATCTTTCACCTAAAAATTAATACAGGAGATTTCTCTAGGTCATACTCATAGGAACATGGCAGTCAGATATGTTTAATTATGTTCTCTTATAGCATGGAATCTCTGTAAGAAATCAAGGTGCAAGGGAGGTCTTCAGCATTGTGTTACCCTTAAATTCTCTAGCAATTAACCCTTAATTGTGAAAGTTAAATTTTATCCAAATATAGGCTTTCGAATTAGCAAACTTTGGATTAGGGAACTGCTGAGAAGAAGCATGCTTGGTTGTATCTGAGAATCTTTTGATGGTAACATGGATAGAACTCATGGATAGAAGTCTGGAGTGAACTCATGGGCGATCTTGTATAAAGATGTATCTACTCAGCAGAGCAGAGAGATCTGGGAAGTAGACCTCTTGTGGGTGAAAACTGTTCAAATGAGACCAGAGAGGACAATGCCATAAAGGTGACAGGAGAGTTGAAATTTAGCTTCCTGAATTCTATACTCTATTTTTCGTAATAGCTACACTGGATTCTCTTCATTACAGGAAAGGGAGGCATGGATGGTTTCACTTTTGTACTCAGGAATATGAGGGAATTTCTCATCACAGGGATGAAAATTTGGCTTTCTTGGAAAGACCTCTGGAGCGCTTACAAAACCTTTATGGTTGAGCTGAAGGAAGGTTTGTCGCGTCCCTCTTTTGACGATGTCTTGTCTTGGGGTGCCGGCCTTTCTGTAGAATCTGGAAATCATGGAGGCTAGGTGAAACGATTGCATTTAGCAGTGTCAAGCAGGTGTTTTCTGTGTCATTTTGCCTCTCTCTCTGATGTGGAGGTGTGTGCCTTCTTTCCTGAGGGTTCATGAGTGATGCGCCATTTGCCCCCCGCCCCCTCCCACCCCGCACCTGCAGCCCGCCTTCCTGCACTGGTCCTGTGCTCCAGTCTGTGGCTTGCCTGGACCCAGTCCTTTCCGTGTGTCCTGTTGGCTTTGTTGCTGTCACCGGCTTTTCTGGATTATTTCCGTGGCTGGCTTGATCCCCCCCCCTTTTCTTTTCAGTCACCATTAGTGATGCGCTCATTTAATTTCTGTTTAAACTTTGTGTGTCTCTCTTTCTCTCCCCGGCTTGTTCCTTGTCTGTCTACGCTGTCCTGCTGACTCTGTCTTCGCTGCTCATTCCCTGCTGCCTCTAGTATCCACCAGGTGCAAGCGGCCGACCTGCGGCGCGTGTCTGCTCCGCCCGGTTCCTTCACCATGTGAGTACAGTACCATTCTGTTTTTACATTTGCTCCTCAACCTCTTCTTCTCCTCAGGGTCAGGCCATGTGCGGCATCCTTTCTCTCCACAGGCCTGCTGCTCAGATAGCGTTGCCAACTGACTACAATGGCCCCCATGGATCCTGCTTCCATTGGAAATGAACTTGTGGAGCTCTTTATGCTCTAAGTAGCCCCATCCTCTAGGAGTTGACAGTGTTATGTGTTGATGAGAGACTTTAGGGCTCATGGTTGCATAGGCTGGTATAATAGTCTAGATTCCACATTGGTTTGGGGGAAGGTTGACAATTATCATGAGACCATGTTAGTACCTGTAAGTCAGGGGTGAATACAAGGACGTGCTTTCAAGCATTGGATTTATGGAGGGATCCCTAAATTTTGAGTGCACATACCTGCATATTTATGGGCTGAGAATTCACCAATTGTCATCTGGTTAGAAAAATGTATTTTAATACATAGGAATGTATGCTTTATGTACACCTGGATATTGTATTTTTTCCTGACAAAGGCAAACAATTTTATTCTTATTTATTCATTTACTTCTGAGGATGTTACTTGGGGAGGTTTTGGTGCTATTTTCCCAGCCATGGTCTTTCTCTCATATTGCTCCATATGCTTGTAATATATCCTAGATGGGATTTAAACTTGGGCATTGTGACTTCAGACTGCATGCTTTTAATAATTTGCAGTTTTCTGCTTTTCATTCTGTTGCTCTATAGACTTATGGAATGTTATATGTTGTAAGTATTGTTCCTTGTACGTATGTTCTCATGGCAATGAGAGAAGTCATGCTATATAGACTATACTTACCTAACACTTATTACCTTTTTAAATTACCCTTAAGTAGTTGTGCATAGGGCTTTCAGTTCCATGCACCTTGATCAATGTTACCCCTCATCATTCTCTCCAATATCTCCCAACTCCATCCATGCCCCCAGTGTACCTAGCTTAATTTTCATATATGAACATTCAATCTTTCAGATACTGTTACTGTATATATATATATGTGTGTGTGTGTGTGTGTGTGTGTGTGTGTGTGTGTTAGCTAATTTCCTTCCTCTGAAACATGATGGTATATATGTAATAGGATTTCTGTTGTGCATGTTAGGACTCCCATTAGAGAAATCTTGAATATGTTTCTCAATGTCACAAAGCTAATAAGTCATAGACTGGAATTCAAATTCAGGCAACTTGGCTTTGGAATTCATGCTTTTAATGATGTATAATCTTCTACCTTTCATTTATCAGGATCCCATGTACATGTTAAGGCTCATTTGAATTATTACTGCTGCAAAGAAAGCTTTCTTGTTTCTGGGTGTCATAATTAATTATGGTCTGGCTAGAGTTCACTATTGATGAATCTATTATAGTTCTTAAAATTCAATTTGTTATTTACTACATGAATTCTTCATTGTTATCTACTTTACCCATTGACAATATGTTCCTATGAATCGTTGTGTCTCCAGCCATGTTCACAGGTCTTAATACAAAGTGTTATGAAATCAAACAATGGTGGGTTGGTTGGTGGAATGAATACATGTCTAAATATATGTCTAAATAAAACTTTGGTGTCTGACATGTAGTGATATGCCAAGGTAATTCTTTAGATTAGATTAGTTATCTAAATCTTATTTGCAGCCTTCTCTTTAGGAAGTGATCAATGCACACACACACACACACAAGCACACACCACATATACACACACACATTTCTTTTATTATTTTTTTTTATTTTTTTTACTGGGGCTTGATTGAGCTCAGGGTCTGAGCACTGTCCCTGACACTCTTTTTTGCTCAAGGCTAGTGCTCTACCACTTGAGCCACAGTGCTACTTCCAGCTTTTTGTAAGTCAAATTTATGGGAGATGAGAGTCTCATGGATGTTCCTGCTCAGGCTGGCTTCAAACCATCATCTGCAGATCTCAGCCTCCTGAGTAGCTGGTATGACAGGCGTGAGCCACCGGTGCCTGGCTTCAAGAGGTATATTATTGAGAAATAGCTAATTTGCCATGCTAGAGTCTAATACTATTTTGTGATGCATATGTAGTGGTGAGCCCAATGGAACAGGTACATGTACTTTCTGCATGGAGTTTATAAGTGAGCTGTCAAAATGGTGGGTTGGTGTGAGTCTCCAGCCAGGAATCTTGTCTGGGAGTGTCAACTTATGCCACATGAAATCTTGTTTGCTTGCTTTCTGGGCAAGGAGAAAGACGAGGAAAGGGAGAATGCAGAGTTCAGGTGTAAGAGAGCAACAACAAAAGGGCCTGTACATCAGTATCTTCATGTAGGCTTGTGGGATTCATCTTTTATAACCCTTTGGGGTGAGTCTCAGATGCTTTGGCATCTGATGAGGCCACTGCCCACTTCACTGCAGAGGGAGGGGGTGGTGCCTTCCCTCTATGCTGGTCTACTCCAGGGTGGTCAAGGGGCTTTGCTTTAATCAGAGCTTTGATCTCTGCTGCCCACAGTCTATATGAAGAGGAAGGGCTTTGATTTCACCTGCCCACTGTCGGTCTTCCAGGATCTGTAGGAAAAGGAGGGATGTTATTCCTTTCTACCTAGTCCTTCTCCTTTTGTCTCCCTGATAGCTGCCTTTTATTGGGTACCATTTCCCTTCTGTTTTCCCCCCATCAAAATGAAATAATACAATCCATTTATACCTAGTTCTCCCCTCCCCCTCCATCTTCCAGCAAACACTAGAGTGCTTAGTTCAGATACCAGATATTCTGGTAGAGATTGAAGATACAGAAATCAGAAAGCTAAGTTTCTTTTGAGGAACCTCCATACTGCTTTCCAAAGTAGTTGAACAGGTTTACATTCCCACCAACAATGCAATGGGATTCCCTTTTGGCCACATCCCCTCCAGCATCTGTTGTTATTAGATTCCATGATTACAGCCATTCTAACTGGGGTGAGGTGGAATCTCAATGTTGTTTTGATTTGCATTTCTTTTATGGCTAAAGAAGTTGAGCATTTCTTCATATGTCTATTGGCCATTCTTATTTCCTCTTCAGAGAAGTCTTTCTTTAAGTCTTTAGCCCATTTACTAAGCAGGCCGTTGTTTTTTTAAGCATCTGTTGTTGGGGGATTTAATTTTTTGAGTTCTAAGTATATTTTAGATATGAGACCCTTGTCTGTTGTATGGCTAGTGAAGATCTTCTCTCAATCCATGGGCTCTCTATTGTTCTTGCTTGCTGTGTCCTTTGGAGCTCTCCTATGACCCAGCAATCCCACTTTTAGGCATTTACACAAATGATCACAAACAAGACCATACTAAAGCCACCAGCACAACTATGTTTATCGCAACATTACTCACCATAGCTAAGATATGGAACCAACCCAGATGCCCCTCAGTAGGTGAATGGATCAAGAAAATGTGGTATATATATACACAATGGAATTCTGTGCCTCCATCAGAAAGAATGACACCACTCCGTTTGTTAGGAAATAGAAAGATTTGGAAAAAATTATATTAAGAGTAAGCCAGACTCAAAGAAACATAGGTCCCATGGTTTCCCTTATCTGCAATAACTAGTATATGTCTAGGACAAGCAGAAGAGGTCAAAAGCTATGTACCTATGACCATATAACCTGATGCTAAGCAAAATGAACCCCAAGATAGGGACACAAAAAGTTTTATCTTTGTTTCTATTCTTTTTAATGTACTTATAATGTACTACATGATTTTTTTATTTCTTTTTATGTTCTTCCCCCATGGTATAACTCCTGTTTTCACTGTATTTGATTCCGGTGCCCTGCATCTTGTATATTCATTTTTCTAATCTGGGGAGGGGAAGGGAAATAACAAAATGCTGAAATAAGGATACAGGATGACCCATTATAACAATGAGATGTACAAGACATTATGTTGAAAACAAACTTTACAACTTTGTGAGGGGGCAGTGGGGAGGGAGGAGTTGGGGAGGTGGGGAGAAAAGGGATGGTAGGGGAAAAATAAAGGAGAGTGTAAAATGTTCGATAGGAAATGGTATCATTACCTTGCTCATGTAGCTGTAACACCTCTGTACTTTTTCTTTATGATAAAAATATATGTTAAGAAAAAAGCTAAGTTTCTGCCCTAGGAAAGAAAACACAGAAGGAATAGGCCTAACTGAGTTGCCTCAAGTCCAATTACAAAACAATAAGGCAAGCATCGGAATAGAAATTCTGGTTCTGTGTCTATATAAATGGCCCTTTACTGATCATTTGTTATATGTGCTTTTATTTAATTGGTACTTAAAACTCATATGCAGTAATACTGACTTTTCTGCCAGCACATTTATATGACTACCACCTTTACCAGGAAACACATCGGTTCATCACCCTGAGAATTCTACCTTACAATCTATCCATTTTTCTCTCAGTGCCAACTCTGCCAACTACTGATCACCAGAGACATGGAACCACACAATTTGCAGCCCATTTTATCTGCTTTCTTGACTCACCACAACATCTTTGACATTTATCTCTGCTGTTGCACGAATGTGTCATTTGTTGACTTTTATTGCTGAGCTATATTTATTCATTATGTGGATATTCCCGTGTTTATGCATCCACCTGCTGCAAGCCATCTGGACCTTTTCCAGCTGTGATTGTGAGTGGAGCTGTTCTAAACATTGAAGAACAGGTTTTATATAAATAAAACTTTTTTTGCATAGAGATGTCCAATGATTCTAGTACTACTGTTTGTTGAAAAGACTATTTTATTCTATTTTCAGTTTTGCAAAAATCAAAATCAAAATCACACTCACACACAGATATCTTATGAATTTCTAGAGTCTATTTTGTGTTGTGTTCTATTTGTTGATGATTTTGTGTTTTACAATCAAATGAGGTTATTTCCACAGATTTATTCTTCATTCTCAAACTTGTCTTATTATATACACTCTTCGAATCAACTATCTCTTCTGAAAAATACTACTAAGATTTTAACTGAAATTGTGTTGGGTCTGTAGACCAATTTAGAAAATGTATGCATTTTTAG